CTTCATTCTGTCATGTAACACAAATAAAAGACAAAAGCTATTCACCCAGAGTGACATTAAATCTGAATTTGCAATGGCATACCAAATGGTTGAGCATTGCCGGAAGGATGTCATCGAGTGCTCGAACACCAACGGTTGAGTGCAGACTGTCAAACGTCTTCGCAGCAGCCTGCCTCACTTCTGGCAGCGGATCACACAGAGCTCTTCTCACAGTGGGCACCAAACTGTTTACAAATGTGAGCACCATGTCTTTGCTGGTGGAAGCCATTATCTCTGAGAGACCAATACACACTCCCTGTCTCTGATCTGGCTGATCTGATTCCAACCCCTTCTCCAGAATCGGAATGATCTCTGGCAGCACCCGTTCGCCTAGTTTCCGCACTAGATCTCCTAAAGTACGGGCTGCAACCTGTCACAAAAACAAATAAAATTGCTGATAGTTCTGACAGTTATTATTGGGTAAAGTGTGCTGCCCAATATCATACCTTTTACGCAGCTCTTAATTGTAATAGTTAAAAAAATACTTACTGCAGATCCTTGCTTTTGATACTGAAAAATAAACCTTGTGCTTTTTAGATAATTTATAACACTACTTTCTACACTTATACATTACAAAAACAAAAGAGAGGAGGAATGTGACAGGTGTGGCAACATAATTGGAGATACTAACCCAGAATTTGAATCATAAGACAAAGGAAAACCTGTGATACAAACCCATCCTACTACACCGTGACATTTAGTAGTAGTATAGGATTTATAGATGCATCCGCTACTGCAGTTATTTGTACCCATCTACTACTTAAAAGTACCCACTCACAGTGCGATAAGGATTCAAGTACAAAGATTTCCTCCTTAACCTGTCCCTATTTATCTTCATTTGATCAGTACCTGTCTCTTGTCGTAGCTGGTACTGGCCAGACAGCCAAGCAAGAGACTGAAGAGCGTAGGAAGGATTTCTCGCAGAGTCCGAGGCGTGTTGGTGACGACAACCTTCCAAACATGCAGAGCTGCCTGTCTCACCATGAGAGCCACATCTGACCTACCCATGTACAGCCCTGCCAGTACCCGGTTTCTGCGTCCTCCACCAAGAGCATCAATGATAGCCTGAAAATTTAATGAAACTTCCTCAAGTTTGCACATTATTGCGTGTAAAATGGAAAATAACTGTAAATGATAAATCAGAAATAATGTGCAAGTGGAGGTGATATATTTTAAGGCACTATCACAGCATTTGTCTGGAAGAAATTACAAAAACAAACAAGAAATCGGGCAGGATAGAACAGCTGTGCAAAGCAGAAGACTCACCTGGTTGCAACAGTCACTAGAGTCAACATACTCATAAATAAAGACAATTTTTAGAAGACTAATTGAATGGCTGAGATGTGAAAATAGTACCATATTCTGAAATGCATGTATCCAGAACAGTATTGTACAAATATGAGAATATTTCCAAAAACAATCATCATATTTTAATTACAATTATCATGATGCCAACATACGATTTATTACAATTCCTAATCTTCAGCTGTATTAAATTATGCATAGCTAATGGTTCTCATTTCAATGTGCATCCCATAATGACTCAACATCCACTAGACTCCCTGGACTGGCGAGGAAAAGAAAGATGGTTAACAGTACTCTTACAGACATCTGGCCATCAACAGCTTCAGAAGCAAACCTTGAGTGTACTGAATGCAAAAAGTTGTAGCGTGTTAGGAATCACTGTTACGGTGAAGTTTCCGGAGAAGCCACTTGTTTTATGATTTTATATATTACCAGCAACACACAGTGTTCCTCTCATTATATTACATACTGGTAAAACATACAGAAGAAGAATGGCTTACATGATGTGACTGTTCAGTTCCAAAGTTATCATCTTCATCTGCTGTTTCAGTGCTCATTTTTCCAGACACTCCAGATATTCTGTAGAGCAAGTCACCCAATAACTGCACTGAACTGTGGAAACAAAAAAATTATCACCTTCAAAATTAAATTTACCTTGTTTTTAGCACGCTTTCCTTTCTTAAAGGAAACAGACTTCTCAGATCACCATCATTTGTAGATCTATTACAACAAAACCAAACACTGATGATCCCCAATAATTTAATTGGCATATGGAGTATGCCTCGCCAGAAGTATGTTGGATAAAATTTTGTAGGCAGCTGATAGGAGGGAGATTCCTTGATAATTATTACAATCAGTCTTAACACCCTTCTTACGAATTGGTATAATAATAGATTCCTTCCACTGCTGTGGCACAGAAACCTTAAGTCAACCTAGATGACTTGGCCAAAAACTGAATCTAGCACCTTCTAAACATGAACCAGAAGTGCAAACTACTGAACTGTAACATTCAGTTAAGCGATGATACTGAATTTCCTCCATTTCAACTCTTAAAATACATCCCTACGTATGGCGGTCATTACAGAAATGTCAAGTCATACCAAAACAAAAAGTAATGATAACTTCTTTATATAGACAAATACCTGTATCGAATCCTCCAGTTATCATCAAACAGTCCCCTTTCAAGTTCTGGCAGCAAAAGCATGATGGCTGTGTCTGCATAAAGATTGACAATTCTCTGACCTGCTTTCAACGCAGTGTCACGCACATACTCATTCTCATCTGCCAAAGCCTACAAATACAAAACGTTCACAAGTACAGGTAACCCTCCATTTGCACCGGTTCAATTTTCGCCAATTCAGAATTACGCCGCTTTTGAAACCAGCAAGTCAAAAAGTGAAGAAAAAAAAAATATTTTACTATTATTTATAACGTTTTACAATGTTTCTCGTACCGATTCTTACACTAAATCGTAATTCTTACATCGCTGATTTTGAATAAAAATTATAAATACAGTCACCTCTGCACTCATTGCTGAGTTGTTGCGAGATAATCTCCTAAAAATCCGCCAACATTGCGCAACAGTCACGTGAGCATTGGTTACTCTTCACGGTGAGTCATTTGCTTTCAGCCTGATAAGGGAGTAAGGAAAAATGCACTCAGTTCACCTCTTGTTGACACATTGAATGTGATGAAAACTGTGCTAAACATGTTTGTGTTGTTGTTCGACCACTATTCTGCAGTAGCAACTGTTTTACATTTATAAATTGTAGAAGAGCCACCATGTCTGGTAAGAGAAGTGAATGTGTTGGTAAAAAGTTGCGTAGGTCTATTGCGTTAGAAGATAAGATGGGCGTAATTCGTAGAATAGAAGGTGGTGATACCCGTCGTAATGTGTGCAGAAGTATGAAGTTGCCTCCTTCCGCTGTGACTACCTTAATGAAAAATTCATATAAAATAAAACAGTCAACGCAGCAGGCTACGAGAGTAAGTGCAACGCAAGTGAGTCAGCGGAAGTAAACTTTTTGAAACAATGGAGAAATTACTGTTGCTATGGGTGGATGACATGAATCAAAAAAACATTCCCTTGACTGAAATTACTATCACGGATAAGGCGAAGTCAATTTTTGAGGAACTTGAGTCGTCAACGTTTGGGTGCCGGGAACGCACGTCATCGACCATGAGCAAATGAGACAGAAAATAAAAAATAAAAAAATTAGACTAAAAGGTATACAATGTGTTTTTAGGTGGTGGTGGAGATTGGGTTTGTGGTGAGAATAAACTGTCAAAATCATTATTGACTTACTGTATGCCAGTGGTATTCAACCTGGGGTATGCGTACTCCCCGGGGGTATGCAAAAACATCTTAGGGGGTATGTGAAATTTAAAAAATATATTATTTTATGATAAAAGCTGAATAATCAGTAATGTAATTTATTTTAGATGTAGATTATATACTATGTATAACTTGAATTATACACCAACAACTTTGGGGGTACAAAGTTGAAGAGAAATTATATCTGGGGGCACGCAAACAAAAAAGGTTGAATACCACTGCTGTATGCTAACTAAAGGTGATAAAAGTAAGCGAGGTAATAAGCTGCTGATTCTGATATAAAACAATATCAAATGAAGCACACAAAAGGATTCTTGGACCTCAGAAAAATCTTGGGTTATTAGAACTTTGAAATGATACCACTTAAATATAATTGGCAAGCCCTACTCTACGAAAGAACACCGCAAACCAAGACACATAATAACAATAACAGTAGGATTTGAGGAATAATAATAATGAGTAATTCTTGCAAACTATCAGAAACTGCTGCAAAAATTGGCATTACTGTTGCTTAATAGGATCTGAGGTTTTCACAGCAGTGAGTACGAAGATGTCTGTTCGTCTTCATTAATACCCATCAGTGTTGTTTGTTCTTGGTGCAAACCACTTGTGTAGCAACCATTTTTACGCCACTCTCTCGGAACAAATGAACCACACTCGGACCTTTATGCAGCCTGACCTTGAGCTACAGTCTGACCAGGCCTTGGAAGTGTTGCCAATTACACAATGAAAATATTTCAATACTTCAAACATTTTTCAAACTTCCTTCATATAAGATGTCATCTATGTTACAAGCAATTAACTAATTAAGAATATTTACCTTAAGAATTGGATTAATAATTTGTCCTATATATGGGGTGAATTCAGTGGTGAATACCACAGGCATGTAAATAAACATCATGATATAACCATCCTTTACATGTGGTGCAATATCAGTCCGTTCAGCCGTACTAATAATTTCTGGAAAAGAAACAATTTCAAATGAAATGTGTATACAGCAGCCACAAATGATTTATAACCTACAATTTTCACTACAGTGCCCATTATTCGTTACACATACACATGGCATTTCTTACATGCAACAAACCTGCATAAGTTTGTGTCCTAGTCCTAAAATCACATGAAATGTTCCTATGAGTATATGGTTGCAACCACTTTGTCAGAAAGATAAAGAAGCATCAGAACATCAAAAGAGAAGCACATATATTCGCTAGATTTCAACACATGTGCTGAATGTTTACAAAAGTTGCTGGAAACCCAGTACATTAGTTTGAAAGAATAACTGAGCCAGTGAAACCATAAGTCCCTGGTACACTGAAAAATTCCAGGCATGTGCCATTTTGTTGTTGCAGCTACTTAAATTAGACACCAAAGCTCACACCATGTGTTGACTATTTTCGAGTAAGCTATACCCTTCAGATGGTCCCACAGGTAGAAGTCGGTAGACATGACAGAAGATGAGGCCACAAAACCAGTCTGTTTCATTCTACCCACTGGGTAGTGAGAGTTCACAAACTTCTTTACATTGCAGGTAAAATGAGCAGGAGCTACATCATGGATAAACCACATAGTCTGTTGTGTTTCCAGTACTACATCCTCCAGTAGAGGTATCATATTTCCTTGATTTTAAGACACATCCTTGATTTAGCAAGTGGTTTTCAGGGGAAAAAATATGTATATTACAATAGGAAATGTCAATATTCAAACACAAAAGTCTGTGTATTAATAATATCACAATCTACTTTGTTGCAATCCTTGTGTTTAATGTCCCATTACAAAGATTTTGCTTGTCACACAATATAATTTTTCAATAACATTTCTCAGATGTCATCAAATGTATATGCAACCTGATTCCAGAAATTTTAAAATGTGAAAATACGTGCATCTTAAAATCAAGAAAATATAATAATTCTTCAATAACAAAATTAAACTTGGAGGATCCTGAGAGTCAAGGCACTGGCTTGTGACATAATCTGGTAGAAGTTTACCGACATTTCACAGGTGCTTGCAGCCTCCATCTTTAAAGCGATGAACACCCTGATGACAGAGGTAGTAAGCACCTCTGAAATGTCAGTAAACTTCTAACAGACTACACAGCAACAACACAGAAGACAGCCATATTAAATCTTACACTTATAAGTGTATGCCATCATAATTAAGGCACGCTTCAATTTAATGGCTACATATTTTAAAGACTTCAAATAAAGTCATGGGTATGCCGTGCATAAAATTTGTGATGTTTTCCACATGTGTCCTCTAGATTTCTTGGTGAGATAAACTAACAAATGCTTCTTTTATGGCCCCACAGGTATAAATAAAGTGGTGTGAACGATAGGAAATGAAAAATGCTCAGAACAACCTGCTCCAGCATGTCCCATGAAACCTTTCCAACACAAACTGAAAAAGTTCTACAATAAAAAAAAGTCATTGCAATATTGCATCCAGTTAGTGCAACAATGAATGCAAGAAAACTACCAACAAAACGAGTGCCCCATGTAAAAGAAGAGCTGCTCATACTGTACACTACCTGGCATCAATCTGTGCAGTTTCTCAACACCAAGTCCACCTACAACTTCACTAAGACCCTGGGCGGCGCCTGAACGATCTACAGAACTTGTTTCTGATGTGAGTGTCTGCATCAACCACGGAAGCAAATCTTCAAAACTCGATTCACCCATTCCACGCACCATAGCTCCAAGAGCTCTTGCTGAGACACTGCGAACCTGCAACCAAAATGGAAGAGTGTTTCGCGATTGAAACGTCAATGGCAGATCTACAAAAGCAAGCACTAAATTCCGAACCGTCACTAAACTTTGTCACAAATGAACAGGCTAATGCCTGTGCTGAGGAGGCTAGGGCTCGATTTTGGGCTGTTACGCCATAGTAGTACAATCACAATCTTGTAATGAGTTCACTTAACTCATGCCTGTGTCACTACTGAAAAATACCTGCTCAAGAATATAACCCTTAAATGGAAGAATGTCGACACAGAATTTATGTAAAATGTTTTAAATGTATGTATTCCTGTTTTATGTGGTATTTTCCAGAAATACACAACAAGTACATCAGAATACACATGTATAAGCAAACAAGAATTGTAACAGCAAACCATATCAATACACAAAAAACCTGAGATGAATGCACACAGCATATAAAAGTAAGATTTACCTCTGGCACCGGGTCAAGCAGAGACGTTTTAAGACCAGGTATGATAGTGGGCAAGTAGGGAGTCAGATCTTTCTGGTCAGTTAAGGAGTACATATTGCCAATGATCTGGGCAGCCATTTTCCGCGTTTCCGTAGAACGATCCATAAACGCGCGCTGCACAACTGGCATAATGAGAGCCAAAGACGGTGCATCAATAAAGTGCACAAACTGTGTATCCAGAAGAGTTTGTAAGCAAGTGGCAGTTTTGTTTGACGGGTCTTGCAGCGCCTCCAGCAGCACAGGAACAATCGCTACAAAGCACAAACAACAACATGCTATAAAGCACTGCAGCACTTGTTACTGACACAAAACTTGCGTTGTCAATATGACGTTCACTTTCAGGTGATGTAAATTAAAGATCCAATACAACGCAATGGTATTCTGGAGTCAGCAGATGTCAACATAACAACATCCCAGTCAAGTCATAATTGTTACATTTCTTACAATTCTAACTAAGTTACAGACTGGTGTTGTTATTTAACAGTATTATTGATGTTATTTTTTTCTTTTAAAGGACTTATTATTAACTAACAAAAGTTTTACACAGTTGCGACATTTTTAACTACTACCTTATAAACATAATTTTATACCAAAATTGCAGATATGTTAATTATTTAACTCCATACTCAATTCCACACCTCATGGGTGTGTTGCTTTTGTCTGGACACAGTGCACCTTTCATCTCCAAATGCTTACTAAAAATGATACTGCACATCATATTTTGTTAGATCTTTTCCAAGAAGATCTCAATGAAAATGTTATTACAATCAATTAATCCATTCTTTTCTATCTTGTGCTTATAACAAAAAGTGTAAAAGATTACAAATAAAGATACCCAAGAACACTTAAAAACCAATATCTGTTTGCTGTAGCAAAAGCTGATCAATGGATTATATAAACTGATGTGCAAAAATACTTACTTTTCACAATTTAAATTATGGTGTGTTGCATTAAAGCAAGTATCATATTTGTGTTCACTAACAAAGAAATGGATTATAAGGTAGATCCTGACTTGGAAATGTAAATTGCGTTTATAATTGTTTAAAACATTAACGTCATTGTAAACTCACCTTGAATTTCTGGGTTACGTATGACAGAACCAATGAGTTTCAGAGCCTGTGCTCCAGCCCTTTGAACCTTTACATGAGAGTCACTCAAAACTTCAATTAACTTGGGAACGATACTCGGCAGACAGGAAGACAGTTGTTTGGGGGCGCAATAAGCCATTGCTCCCAGCAACTCCACAGACCCTAAAATCATAAAGTTGTTTCTCCAGAACATAAACTGCTGCATTTACAGAAAACCATGGAAATCAATGATTTGTAACAAGTCAGGAATGACAATATAGGTACAGAACTTGATTTATGTCTTCAGATTTATGTGACTTCACATGCATTCCATTCAATGCCTGACGTTTCCCACGAGAGAATTATCCAGATGGGAAATTCCCCATCCAGCCAATCAGTCACTTCCAACTACAGAAATGTACGTAGAGTGCCAGTAACTGTTTTCCAACATCAACCAAAATTGGAATGTGACAACAAATTCTAGTAAAAGTCCTAATATCGAGTCTTATAAAACAAATTAGGCCATTATTGAGTTGTGACATTTGTACAGACAGAGGGTTCTGCAGGACTGCAAACTTGCCTAGAAAAGAACACGATAACCAAGTTCAAATTGAAATATACTGTTCAGGAATGTAAACTCCATTTTGAACACTTGAATTTCACAACAAATGTTTCACCCTTGCTTTGAATTTTATCATCCAGAAATATGAATACCATGTAAATCAGGGTGGATCCACGCTACTTATCCTTACATTCATGTAGTCAGACTGTAGAGAACTATAAAACACCCTCATAAAAACCATAAATTAAATTATAAAGTGTGTATGGCATCCAATACATCTCAAATTTGACATTCCTTCTGAAGAGCAGGATAAACTGAAATAAGACAAGCACAAAATTAAAAAAAAAATCCAAAATAATTTCATGCTTCTCCATAGAACTTTGGGAAGAAAATGTTTCCAGAATATAGGTACTAATTTTATTGGTACCATATTTTCAATGGTATAGCACGTCCATAACTAAACACACATAATCATCACACAGTCACTCTGCATTAATTTATACCACATATATTTTAAAGCACACGTGACCATTATTTAATTACAATACAAAGGTGAAGTTACAAAACTGTCCAGGAAAAAAACATACTGAATCTAATTCTCCCAAAAATAAGTACAGGGATAGGCAACTGCATGCACAAATGACAAATTATGTGAGCATTCACCAGTTTTTGTCCTCCACGAGTCCTCTTCCAAGGCTGCCAGCAGAGATGGCAACACCAACTTCACTCCATGAGCAGAAAGTTTGCTCATGACAACGCGAGCCGTGTCATCTGTAGCATCACGGACATATTGACTTCCATCTCCAAAACACAACAATAAATGTGGCAGAACATGAACTATATATGGTTCAAACAATCTGCCGAGCATGTTGCACAGCATCTCAAATGCAAACAGTGCACCTGAAACATACGTATGGCCAAATGTAACAAATAATTGCTTACAGTGTTAAAACTACAATTGTATGTACAAGATATGTCAACAGTATGCTCTGTATGTTGTTACCACACAGTTTAAGCAATGTTATATGCAGATATTGTTCAAAATTAAGCACAGTTGGACAGCCAGAAGTTTCATGAGTGGCTATAGCAAAACAGTTGGGCACATCAGCATATGAAAAATTTTGTTAGAGGTAGGGGAGGAACATTCTGCAAAATGCAAACAAGCAAAAACAGAAAAGTTTGATGAAAGTGAACAAACCTTACTGCTGTGCTCAAAAAACAAAGAAGGGCCTTCAGTTCTGTCAGCATGCAATATTTTTGAGTGATTTCAAGAAAGTTGTAGTGAATTAATCAACAAGAAACATCTTTGGAGTACAAAGTTGTGAAAAGAACATTACTGACAATGCACAGCTGTATGAATCAATCTACAAGCAAATAAAGAGTTCTGTGATGGCAATAGGTTCTACTGTTAAAATATTATGTTTTAGTCTTTTCTGCCTTGCTAATTAAACCTTTAACAATAAATAAAAGAGTGAGAGACTCAAAGAAATTCACAGTTAGTTCTCCCACTTAAGTTTTCAGCGGACTGGGAATACTGACTGAGGTTTTCAGTTTCTTCAGGTGAATGGCAAGGTAGTACCTTACATTAGGCCGCAATCACTTCCTCTCACAATCTTCCCAGTTCATTATTCATTAATCTTTCCATAATTTGCCACCATGTAGCAAGCTACTGAAAGCACCGTTACACAAATGACAAATAAATAAGTATATCTTGTTGATTAAATTTGGGCACATGATATATTTCCCAACTGTTTCCCACTTCAACATCTATTAAGACTTAAATACTTTCATTACTTTACTGGCTTGGCTTCCTACATCAACCAGCTTTTAATTTACCATAGTCACACACAATACAAACTTCAGGGAAAACAATATTACCATATCAACCAAATTATGTTTTGATCAACAATAAATATTTTAAAAGACATAAACATCTATTACCTTCTCTGTGGCGAAAGTTTTTCTTGTTTTGAATGGCAGTTGTCAAAGTATTCATGATATCAAGTTGTTTAAGGGCAAGAATACCCATCCCCTTAACCAATCCTGCCAACCCATATGCTGCTCCTTTTCTCTCACCATAATTCTCAGATTCTAGTAATTGATGAAGCAACTTTTGGACTAAATGTGGAGCATCATCTTTGATTGCAGGAACAAGTGGAGGAAGACAATTGGCCACAGCCTCCTGTACCTGTAACAAATGTATCCATGATACAGGAACATCACAACACAGCAAAATGCTTTATTCTTATGAATAACATGTGAAAATGCTCATTCTTCATCCAGATTCTTCTTAAACCATACTGTACTGAAACAATTAAATTTCTACCCTAGTTATCAAAACAGTTTCTTACACAAGGCAGCAACAATTTAACATTATAAACAGTCCAAGATAAAACTGTAATATTAATTTGCTATGAAAATCTGAACAAATTGGGCTGTTTCAAATAATCTGACAAGTGTCGCAGGAAGTAAGCAAACAATACGAACAAAACCATACAATGACATTAAACAACTGAAAGATGCCAACAAAAGTAATTTTTATCTGCTACATTCTAGATTCAGGTTTGCACCAACATTTAAATGCTGTAAAGTGCAAAAAATCCTAAAATAAAATGTATAGTAATTACTGTAATTATGATCAAGAATTTTTGGATAAAATGTAGACTTTGAGGATAAATCATTCTTCATCATACTAGTTCCTCAAAATATCAGGCCAACAGCATATTTTACATCTCTTTTCCATATTAATCCCACTTTTCTATTCTACTGCATTAAAGGTAGCAAGTGCACTAAAGGCGAATTTATGGAAGCAGAAGGCAGAAAAATTTATTCTTATACATAACGACGAGGCACGTCATAACTGCATACCTGCTGTGATGGTGTTGACAAAGCATCGATAAGTTTTCCAACAATTGGCTTCACTTTACGATCATCTCGCTCCAAATGCCTGGCCAGGGAACCCATCAGAATCACCACAGACTGCCGTATGGCATCAAAACTTCCTGAATCTGGTGCTTTATCCAGAAATTCCTCAAAAACAGGCAGAAGACTGTTCACAGTTTCCTGCAATAAAATTGGTACCTAATACAAAGCCAGTAAACACACAAAGGACCCTGTGTATCATGATTATGCAGAGTCCAGTAATGGAGAAAGTAACCTCTCTTAGCAAGAATATTTAGTACCAAATGTACTGGGCTGTGGGCCACATAAAACTGAACACCAATTATTTCAGCTGTATTCTTAGTATATAGTGCAATGATTTCTTTGTGTATATTTATTATGGCAGGAGTAGCAAGCAAAATATGGACGGCTGACATTATCCGAACTTGAGCGTAAACAAAATTTCATCAACAATCTAATAAAATGAGCAAGTCATAGGTTTTTTAATAACACTTTCTCAAAAGCATAGGTTATACACCATGAATAGTATAATGATTCTGAAAGATGAATTACAAAGGATGTGAAAAGAAGTGGACTTGGCCTATTGTAAGGTACTATCCCACTATTTGTCTATAGGCAGAGACAAGACACAAAACCTTCAGTCGAGTAGCCGGTGTATGGGCTGGACCCTACAATTGCCACTGCAAGACACTCACCTTGCCATGCAGATCTACAGCAGCTAGAGCCGCTGCCAGCATATTCTTTCTGACCTCAGGGCTTCTATCTCCAAGCCCCACTGACACAAAAAATGTGATGAGATGAGAGACAGATTTTGGAGTGAGAAGGGGAGCAATCTGGGCAAGTGCAAGGGCCACACCACTGCGTGGCTCCCACATGTCCACAGGCTGTTCAACAACACGACCAAAACTATCCAGTTTGGGAGGTAAGATCTAAAACAACAACAACAATGAATATATATTCACACCTTTGCCTGAACACCAAGTCTTGATGATAAAGAGGGCATGGAGGTAAAGTCTGTTCTGACCAATACAGAGATTAATGAAACATTTCATTTTTATATTGCATTCTCTCGTCTATTGTAGCTACCAACAGTGGAAGATGTACACAACACTTTCTGCAACTTCACAGTAATATAATAAAATATTTTCTTACTGCAAGCTTTTCATGATAGATTACAAGCAACTGCTCCAGGACATGATCGATGAGGCCTGTTTCCTGTTTCAGTAAGGCAGCAAGAGCCTGTGCTCC